TTTCTTTAGGCTGATCATTAGTCCAAAGTCTTGTCAGGCCTTGCTGAAACAATTCATGAGTTGTTGGAGGTCTTCAGCAGAGTGGGCAACAATGGCTGCATCATCTGCTAAGAGGAAGTCCCGCATGCATTTCAGTTGGACTTTGGTCTTCGCTCTCAATCTACAGAGGTTAAAGAGCTTTCCGTCTTATCTAGTCTGAAGATAGACGCCTTCGGCTGCAGTTCCAAAGGCATGCTTCAGCATGACAGCAAAAAAGATCCCAAAAGGGGTTGGTGCGAGGACACAGCCTGTTTCACTCCACTTTGGATGTCAAAGAGATCTGATGTTGAGCCGTCAAAAACTACAGTGCCTTTCATTCCCTCATGGAAGGATCTGATGATGTTAAGGAGACGAGGTGGACATCCGATCTTGGGAAGTATTTTAAAAAGGCCATCCCTGCTAACCAAGTCAAATGCTTTTGAAAAAGAGTACTAAAATGAAAAAGAGTACTAAAATAATTATAGTATCAAAATGTAATTAGGACAGATTATGGAAAAACAGAACGGTTTCCTATAGGCAAGGTGTCAGACAAGAGTCCATTTAATCTCTGTATGTCTTCAATCTCTTCAGTTTAAAAATATTTAGTTTATTTATTTATTTATTTAAATCTAGAAATTAATTACTGACTTTTAGTACAAAATACATTCCCCTCATCTTTATTTTCTTTTTATACCATCCAATATTGAACAGGCACTCTCTGGACAGCCAAGAGATCATATTGCAAGTTAAACATATTAATAATTAACAAATAACAAAGCATAATAAATAAAAAACAAGTGGCATGATGTCCTCTGATAAATCACAACAATTAAATTAAAAGTGACCCCAATCTAAAATCTTAACCACCTAAACCTAAAATAATACAGTAAGTACTATGACAAATGCTCACAGGTTTCCAGGTATAAGAACCTTAAGAAGCTGACCCAAAAGCTGTTCAGTTTTTCAACATCTTTGTAAAGGCGAGAAGGGATGGTACTTGGGGAACTATCAGTGGTAGCTTACTGCACAATAGGAGGGCCAGGGTGGAAAATGCCTCATTTTTTATTGTAGATTTTCTGGCCTCCCTTGGCGTTGGCACTTTTAGTAACATTTGTTGTGAGGAGTGGAAGGACAGGTAGATTACTTCAGTGGGAGGCATTCCATTAGATATTGAGGTTTCAGACTGTTTAGGGCTTTTTAGATCAAAACCAGCACAGCCACCTTATTGTTACGACAGTAGAACATGAGAAAGTAATAGAAAGCATGGCACAAGCAGCTCTTGCAATATGGTACCCACTCTCTTTTGACCAAACTCCGGGAGGCAGTGGAAAACAGGCAGGCCTGGCGTGCTCTGGTCCATGGGGTTACAAAGAGACGGACACGACTTAATGACTAAACAACTCACTCTCTATCATTTAGTGAGTCACACTTTTTAACTATGAAAATAAAAGTAAGTACAGTTGCACTGCAAAATGAGTGGTGTTATACTATGTTCTGATACAATTTAATGTACTAACGGTTACTTTGTTATAGGCAAAAGAAGTCAAGTAAAACTATATAACTGTAGCTAGTTATATGGCCTGTCCACACTGTG